AGAGTAGTGATACTCATAGGAACAGAAAGCAGATTGGTGGTTACCAGGGACTGGGGGAGGGGGAAAATGGGGAGTTAGTTTAATGGATATAGAATTTGGACATTGCAAGATGAAATGTTCTGGAGATTGATTACACAACAACGTGCATGTACTCAATACTACTGCACCGTGCACTTAAAATAGCTAAGATGGTAAACTTTTTAAAAATGTTTATTTATTTTTGAGACAGAGAGAGAGAGAGAGAGAGAGAGAGAGAGAGAATCAGAGCATGAGTGGGGGAAGGACAGAAAGAGAGAGAGGGAGATGCAGAATCCCCAGCAGGCTCCAGGCTCTGAGCTGTCAACACAGAGCCTGATGTGGGGCTTGAACTCATGAATCATGAGATCATGACCTGAGTTGAAGTAGATGCTTAACCGACTGAGACACCCAGGTGCCCCAAAGATGGTAAATTTTATGTTATGTGTATTTTACCACAATTATATACACACATAACTAGAATAAAATACTTATGGAATCCCTGCAGCCGCTCTGGAACACAATGTAAAAGTCATGGATTTATTGGCTTTGAGGTGGAACCTTAATTCAGAGCACCTGACCACTTTGCCCACGTGTGCCTAGTGTTGGGGGTGGAGCAGGTCTAGGGCTTTTTCCACCTGACTCTAAGTTCAGAGTTCTTTCCACAATAAAATACTTTGTTTTTATCCTATTTCTATAGGATGAAATAGAAAGCCTATTTCTACTAGTGGCACGCATACAAATAAAGGAGATTAGTACCTATTATGTCTGTGTTGATCTTTGCTTTGTTCTAGCAGATAGAAAAAATACCATGTTTGAGTATGCATTTTGAAAAGAAAGCTAGAAAGATACAGATCTAAAAGAGATATTTACACTTAAAAGGTGCATTAATTTATTCCCATACAAATAATTTAAACAAATAGGAGTTTATTTTAAACTTGGATGTCTTAAATACCATATGATTTCACTCATATGTGAAATTTAAGAAACAAAACAGAAGAACATAGGGGAAGGACAAGGAAAATAAGATAAAAACAGACAGGGAGACAAATCATAGGAGACTCTTAAATACAGAGAACAAACTGAGGGTTGCTGGAGGGGTGTTGGGTGGGGGGGATGGGCTAGATGGGTGATGGGCATTAAGGAGGGCACTTGTTGGGATGAGCACTAGGTGTTATATGTAAGGGATGAATCACTAACTTCTACTCCTGAAACCATTACTACACTGCGTGTTAACTGACTTGGATTTAAATTAACAAAAAACCCACTTCGATGCCTTGATTTTTTTGTCTTATTATGGGTAGGGCACAAATATATTTGTTTGGTTTATCTTAGGTTAAACTGTGGACATAAACTTCTATTACAAAAGGAACGAACAAAAAAATGAATTTTATATGAGGCCTGACTTAATTATTGTACAAGAGGTTTTATGGCATTTTAGAAATGAGTGGCACCACTTTCTACAATACTGCATCTTGTAAAACTAAATGGCAGAAAATTAAAAACAGATTGAGAACATGTTTAAACTTAAAAAAAAAAAAACTCTTATACTTCAACACATTTAACCAAATATAGATTAACTCTGGGAAAACCTATAACCACTGCAATTTGCTTAAGTTGTGTTCACATGCCATCACATAACCAGAACAAAGCCTGCGATTATGCAAGTAGTAAATGTAACAGCATTCCTTAAAGATCAATTGTACATGTCACGGTATAATAGTATGTACTTAATTCGTTTCATAGTTATATCCACAATCACATTTGGATTTGGAAAGAAATGCAAGGTTTTTTTTTTTTTATAGTAATTAAGTACCTGTTAAACGTATTAGGATGCATGAAGTGCTTTGAGGCTTAAAGCTAACCTAATAAAGGCTCCTCCTCAAATAGTTAATGGAAAGACTAGATATCATTAGCATATATTCTGTGGTAGCTTGGTGAACAACTCTCTCAGTGCCTCTCCCTCCCTCATTTTATCTCTGCATTTTTTTGTTTGTTTTTTCTTCTCCTATCCTCCTGCTTACTATGTTTTACCCACCTATCCTTTCATTTGTTACTCATGTACTAACTGTACAGTTGGTTTACAAATGTTCTCTTTGTTCTCAGTGAATGAGTGTGTGAGACAATGAAGTGTGTGGAGAAGCTAAGGGCAGGAAGAGTGACAAATGGTAGATTAATTCTGCAACATGGCTGAGAAGACTGAGGCTTTTGATTTCAGCTGTGGTTTAAATATTGGGAATTGAACAGAACACTGGGAATAGATGTTCACAAAATGAATTTGAAAAGAGGCATTAAAAAAACAGATATTTATTTTAGCCTGGAAAATGTAATGAAGAAATAAGAAAGCAATACTTTACCAAATGTAAAGAGAAAGACTCAATCCCTGGTTTTTCTAGAAAAATTAATCTCAACAAGGAACAGATTTGAGAAATATATATATTAATACATCTGATTCTAAGATTATTCTATATAGACATGCTTCCTCAAAATCAAACATCTATTTTTAGAATGTAAGTTTCCTGACAGTATGATAAATCTCCAGTTCCCCTGGGGTGGTTTAGGCTAAGGTATTTTGGTTAATGGAAAGTTTGTGTTGACTGAGGCTTGCCAAATAGCTCATATTTTTCACTGGATCCTAATGTTTTGACACTCATAACAAATAATTAACATTTATTAAGTGCCTCCAATAATTACTGATCCCTTAGCAGGCCTTCAAAATTGAAAATACAGGATCAGGATTCTTCAGGCCTCTGTTTGGTATTCCATCATTTTTTAAAAGCATCCCAAATTTAATTAAAGAATCATTAATATATTTTTAAAGAGGCCTGCTTCACTGGTACTTGCACAGTGGCTTCGTAACACACTCCTTATTTTAATGATGCAGTACATTTGTAAAACACCTTGTACATGCAGCTCTGAACATCTTGAACGCAGGCTCTTAGCTTGTTCCTTTTTGAATCCTCAGAATGCTTCTCTGCATATAGTAAACTATTTTCAAAAACATTGATTTTGTGACTTTAGGCTTTTCTTTGCAACAGAGGAAAGAGTCTACATTCCTAAAAGGCTACTTGCTAATGATATTTTCTCAATATGATCTGTGTCCAAACAGGATCAAGAAATATTTGGTCTCGGGTCTTTGGTCTTGGTGGCTCCCAAGTTAAGCATCCCACCCTTTGATTTTGGCTCAGGTCATGATGTTGCAATGTTGAAATGGAGTCCTTCATAGGCTCCATGTGTGGAGCCTGCTTAAGATGATCTCTCTTTCTCTCTTTCCCCATCTGCCCCTTTCCCTGACTCGCTCTCTATTTATCTCAAAAAAAGAAAAGGAAGGAAGGAAGAAAGAAAGAAAGGAAGAAAAAAGGAAAGAAAGAAAGAAATATTTTCTCTCACTAAGAAAGATATTGAAAACGAAACAAAAAAACCCTTATCCTACATTGCTCTAAGCTGCTGAAATCGCTACATTTGAAGTTTCTGGTTCTCAGCCTCAGAAATACTATAACATGGCTGAGGACAATTTAGATAAAGCACAGGCAACTTTTATTAGTAGAGATCAGAAATTATAAGCTTTAATTTGATGGACCTTAGTTATAAAAGAAATCTTATATTTGAATTGGATAGCAGACCTAGTGAAGAAAATAATTTTGACTTCTTTTCTTCTCATAGGTACTTAAGTGACATGTGAAACTGCCCTTCTAAGCAACATAAAGACAGCAAGAAAATATTTACTTTCCTTGATTATATTAGTTCTACAATTAGGAGTTGTGTTGGAATATAGCCAAGTAGGAATCAGTTACTTAAGTAAAAATCTATACATACTCCATTTCTTATCATGATTACATGAGCTTCTCTCTTTTGTTTTTTGAGGAGAGAACAGCCCAAGATATTCAACTATTTATGAACTTTTTGGTCAATCACCCAGAAACATAATATTTATATATGAAGTTTGTGATAATCCGTAACCTCATAAAATATGTTTGGTATATGTTATTGTATTTGCTTACTTAGTCAATATTTCTTTTTATAGAAAATTGAATTTAGTTACTTATGCAGTAAATGAATTTATTAGCCTTAGGAAAATTAACTTACCGATCTATAAATGAACTCCACCATCCTGTAATCAATTCAACACGATGTGTGGGTTCTCTGGTTTAAAAGAACATTTTGAATAGCTCTCCTCTGTAGCTGCCAAAAATTAGTGTTGGCTTTGACAGATGTAATTCAAATACAATCGTAAAGCCTGGAGCCTTGTGTGACAACAGCTTAAAATATAAGACTTTGAGTTAGAGAAGATAAAATCTTGGAGTAGTAATCACCTAAGAGTAAAAACAAACAAAAAAATCATGAAGACAATGGATGATGTTAAAATTGACTTATTTACTTGAATAACTCAAACCTGAAAGAATAAACTCAAGACAAATGAGAGTACATAACTAAATTCTAAGAGATGTTAAAGGCTTAACCATGAATTAGGTTGAAAAGATTTTAGTTAAATCAATGAAGGATGAAGTCAAGATCAAGGTAGGGAAATAACACTAAACTTCTGAGTTTGCATTAAGGGAAATTAATCTGCTTCTTGACCAAAACATCTTTAGATGCTACCATCAGAGAAGCATTATTGGACTAGATAAAATGAATTATTCTGGCTAGTATAAGAAATCTGCACATGTAAGTAATTTGCTAAATATTTGCAATTAGATGATGACATTTACAACATTTAAAAAAAATTCTAACTTTTACCATCAAACATGCCGTTACAGAATTTCCCTTTCTTGTTTTGGGCAATCCCATAAATTTCTGGTCACTTTTGGGTAAAAGAAAATCCAGTCCAGTCCAGCACAGTTTAAATCATGTGAACATTTTAAGCACCTATTCTTCCCTTTGCATAATAATGGCTAACCCTCAGTCTGAGGGTCTCCATGTGAAGAAGGACATAATCAACTTTTTCATTTCTCTCTTGCCTTTTTCTAGGATCAGGGGTGGGGAAATGGGCAGAAGTCATTTTACTTAATTAGTGGTCTTGTAATCCTCTTGGCTTTCAACGAGATGGGTAATGGCCGGCATCTAAATGGTGACTTCTTCATGTAGAACATGTATAAGATCACTGGGGATTTTGGAGAAGGTTTTCCTGCTGAAGAGTTTCATAATGAGGAACCTGATCTTTTCAGATCTTCCTCAGAGACTTATGATTATACTATGATAAAAAAAAGAATACATCCTGTTTGTGTGAATATCATTATAAGTAGTATTTATTTAATGGTTGACAGAATTACAGTTCCTCTCTTTTTCTCATAGATATATAAGGGCCAATAGAGTGTATGGACATATGCGGCAAAAAGAAATGAAATTCATATATAGTTCACACCTAAGACAATTTTTGTTACTATGTATTTTGAAGTGCTCAGCAAGAAAATAACTTTCCCTTCCCCTCAAAAAGAGCCTACTTCTTAGGAGACTGAGAACACTTCTTCCATTTAAAGACAAATCCTTTACTTTGAAAAATAAAATAGGATAGCTTATTAAAAATTCAGTTTGCTACATCTGATTGAAGATTCAGTCCAAAGCCAGTTTGAAAGACTCGCATTTTAATTTTCATGTCGTAGTTTTTAATTATGTATTTATTTTATGCAGCTTTTAGTGTTCTGACATAGTTAAGCAATTGTTGATAGGTGTGTTGAATTTACTAAGACTTCCTTCCTTACTGAAATGATCTATTTCTGTTGAGCTGCCAGTTAAAGATGATCTCACACTTGCTGACACATTATTAGTGAAGGGTTGTTAAAGGAATGTTGATATTTCTTTATACTGTTTATTTTGCTTCTTCATATATCATCCTGACCTTATTTACTTTGCCCTTTGCACACCTTTTGTTTTCTTTGAGACGGACATAGAATAAGTGTTCATGAAATCAGTTATGAATTATGGGGGAAAATCCAAATACGAGTTAGCTGTTTTACAACTAACAGACCTTCTCTTCTAAAAATATAAAAATTAAAATTAGAAAGCCCCCTTTTTAGGTCAAAATTTTCTCTTATTCATGGCGACTATTTTGTGTTTGAGCTACTATATACTTACAAAATGCTCTGTTAAAATTTTTCTAATACTTTATTGTTATAACAATGATTACAATATATCATCTAACTGAAATTATTTTTCAAGTTTTTAATCTACTTAGTGACATCTTGAAGTCATTTCATTCATTTCTTCATCCTTCTACTTTTTTTCCTAAACACCTGTCATATGCAAGCATTGAGCTAGATCCCGGAAGATGTGCTGGCAACTACGAGTCTGAGTGTGGAGATAGAAAAGGGGGAAAAAAATGTAAATATAAACCAGAAAATTAGACATTGTGATGAGTGTCTGAAGAAAATAAGCACAAGGCTCTTAACAGCACTTAGTACATTGTAAGTTTGTATGGCAAACTCACCAATCATTTGATGTCAAGTATATGATACACACATACATTCTCACCCCCTTAATAAATCACTATAGTTTACTTAAACTTTTAAAAACTGGGCCGCCTGAGTGGCTCAGTTGGTTAAGCGTCCGACTTCGGCTCAGGTCATGATCTCACGGTTTGTGAGTTCGAGCCCCATGTTGGGCTCCGTGTTCATAGCTCAGAGCCTGAGCCTGTTTCAGATTCTGTGTCTCCCTCTCTCTGACCCTCCCCCATTCATGCTCTGTCTCTGTCTCAAAAATAAATAAACGTTAAAAAAAATTAAAAAAAAACTTTTAAAAACATTCAGTCAAATATAGCCTTTCAATTTTGACATCTGTATTATTTAAAAATTATCCCAGAAGCATCAGTATCACCTGGGTCTTATTAGAAATACACATTTTCAGGTCCCACCCCAAACCTATGGACTCAGACACTCTGGGGTGCTACTCAGAAGTATTTTAACAAGTCCTCCAGCTGACTCTGACGAGCATGCTCATGCTAACATTTTGAGAACTACTGATTTAAACTTTTTCTGGAAAGCCTCCCTAAACCCTCCACAGTTGAGTCTAAGTATATAGGCTTCCCATGTGTATTTCCAACACACGGTCAGCAAGCTACAGCCCTCGAACCAAAACCAGCCTCCAGTTTGTTTTCTCTAATAAAAGTTATTGGAGGGGTGCCTGGGTGGCTTTGTCAGGTCAGCATCCGATTTCGGCCTAGATCATGACCTTGTGGTTTGCGGGTTCGAGCCCCGCATAGGGCTCTGCACTGATGGCCTGAGCTTGCTTTGGATTCTCTGTGCCCGCCCCCTCTCTCTTCTCCTCCCCCTACTTGTTCTGTCTCTACCTCTCTCTCTCTCTCTCAAAAATATACTAACAAAAAGTTATTGAGAGGGACACTTGTTGGGATGAGCACTGGCTGTTGTATGTAAGCAATGAATCACAGGAATCTACCCCCAAAAGCAAGAGTGCACTGTATACACTGTATGTTAGCCAACTTGACAATAAATTATATTAAAGAAAGTTATTGGAATACAATCACATCCATTTGTTTATATACTGTCTATGGTTCTTTTAAGCTGCTGGGTGAATGCTGATGAGCCTATTTCCTATCTGCTTCTTTTCAGGAAAGAAAAGAAAAAAAAAGTTGCTTCCTGCTCCAGTACTATAGCATAACACTTGTCACACTAAATGACCATTAGCTGTTTACTTACTATTTTTTTTATTGCCAGCACTTTTCTGAATTCTAGGCTGCTTTCACAATAAAACAAAGTTTCTGTCCTCACAGAGTTTACATTCTGGGGTGGATGGGATAGACTGAACAAATAAATGTAATTTCCTTTAATCAACAACAGGCTTGGAATTGTGGATTGTTCACTATGGTGCCTACACCAGTGTCCGGTCCACACTGGACATTCAATAACTGTGAAATAAATGAATTACCAATGAATAAGTGAATGTATGCCACAAAGTGACAGGAAAGGCAGTTCTGCTTGTACATGACAGTCAAGAATGTAGCTGAGCTGTCTTGGAATTATTTCCCTCTTCCTTACTCATAACTGATATCCTGAGATTCTGCATTTAGTGAGCCTCAAACCTTATTTGGTGTTTCAGATTGCACAAAAATTGTTGCAGAATTTAGAAAATATTTTTAAAAAGTAACTCAACTCTAAAATTTAAAGGAATACATCCTTTTAGGAGAGCAAGCAGGGGTTCACAAATGTGACAAGTACAATGAGTCATGACCATTTCTGCAACTCCACGAGTTGGGAATCATCACATTCTACCTTGCAATGGTTTTGTAAGATATAAGTTATAGATATGATATGAAAGGATACTCTGGGTCTCGGTTTAGTAGTTCATTATACAAAGCACCATGATAGCATATGTGAAAAATGTTTATCTGTACTGGGTGTGTAGCGATTTTACTTTATGTTGTTTATATCAAGAAGAAATTAGTCTCACATCACTACCAATTATATATCAATCATCCTGATGGTAAAATTCTGATCTAATGTATTACTTTGTTCATAGGCAAATTCCATCTGATATGGTCAAATAAGGAATTGTATTTTACTTCATCTGTATAAGGGACAATGAAAACTGCTACAAAAGTAAATCAAGGGCTTGAAGTGGTTAGTGACCTTCAGATGGAAATAAGAAAATTACAGCCAGCTGAAGCTTTCTTTGCATTTGGAACCAAATATTAAGTCTACCTATGATAATGATATCTAGCCAGTGAAGGGGCCAGATTATTCATGCCTACTTTGATTTGGTTTACTATTAAGTAAAATTGAGATGTTCAATGTGTTTTCTAAGTGACCATTTCTAATTATGTGACTAGATAATCAGCCTATTCACAAAAAAGCCCCAGCAGCAACAAACAGACTCTGGCGTGAGGGGGCTAGAGAGATTGTGTGACTCAGTCCCTAATCAAGCACATGGGTATTCAGCACAAAGCTGAATATATAAAGTACATATGAAGTGCTTAGCACAGTGCTCGGCATACAGTAAACACTAAATAAATGACTGCCATTATTATTACCCACAATCTGAAGAGTGAACATTAGAGAGGGACATGTCCTCTGATTCACAGGTAAGAGATGTCACATCTAGAAGGTCGTGTCTTCCTCCAGCAAGAAAAGTGATATTATGGAAGTGATATCATTTGAGGTAAGTCATAAATAATAGTTAATATCTGAGAGGTAGAAACAGGAGCAAGTTCAGAGACAGAGGCAAGCTAAGTGCATGCTTTTGCTGCCCTCTGCCTTCTCTTACAATTACTCATCCTGAGTAGAGCACCTTCCAAAGACAACTGAGCCTGGGAGAGGAAAACCAGGTTTTCACTTTGCTGAGGTCTTGGCAGAAGGCACATCTGCAGGACAGGACTCTTATCTGGGCCTGCCTACAACTTGCATCCTAGAGAGAAAATATCGTAAACAAATTAGAGCCCTGTGCTTCCTGAAAAGGGGTTGTTCCACTGAGATCTGTGGAGCACTGAGAAGAAAGCCAGCATCTTTCCATCCACATTTGTGGTCTTATAACAACCTACTGGTCTCTCAGGTCCCCATGTTGCTCCCCAGAAGCCAAGGAGTTTGGGAGGGTTCTCATTATCTCTTCAACTAGAAAGATATTAACCTTTATAATTGACGAGAGTAGAGGGGTTTTCTATTGAGGACTGAATAGGTGACCAAAAATCTGAAGCTGGTACATGTCCTGCTCAGAGGGCCAGAGACTGCAGGTTTCCCACCAATTGTGGCATTGGCATCACCTGAGCTGAAAGCAAAGGGAAAGGAATGCATTGGAGAAACAGAGTGCCCCTGGAAAGTCATAGGTAACAATTACTAGAACATAAAACTTCAAAACTTCTAAAGTGACAAGGGAAAATGATAACAGTAATTGGATCAAATAAGTAAAGTTTGAAAAACATAAAATGAAAAATATAAAAAATATAAAAGAAAAATATAAAAAAGAAAACAACAATGCATAATGAATAGAGGCATTATTGAATGAATTGTGCTGTATCTGTGCTTTGGAAGTTTATGCAAAATTGGAGAAAATTAATACAAGTTATATAAGTTGACCTGGAGATATTTCTATGAGGTATTAATGAGTAAAAGAAGCAAAATGTAGAGAATTATATATAATTTGATCACACTTTTATAAAACTAGCAATGGAAAATCTAGATAATTATAAGTTGGCATGAATATATTTGGTTTATGTATAATTATATGAGCATGAAGAAAAATGTATAGTAATAAATACTAGATTTCTAACGTGAATTACAGGGTAGGAGGTAGGGAGGGCTTATATTGACAAGAGATAATGTAGATAAGAGGGGGGATGAGGGAGTCAAGTAACATAGGAAAAGAATAATCAACAGTAATTTGATCAAATAAGTAAACAAAACAAACTATAGTAAAAATTGCATACAAGAATGGGAAACATGTTTATGCAATTAAAATCATTAGGACAAGTCAGTTAAACAAAAAGAAGTTAGGATAAGAGGAAATTTAATAATCACACTTGAGTGTGCGTGTGTGTGTGTGTGTGTGTGTGTGTGTGTAGGCACAGGAAAAAACATGGAGAGATAGAGAATATAGAGAACTCTGCACAGAGACAGCAATTTATTTTTTTATGTCCATGGAATATTTTTAAAATCAGTCTTCTGCTTGCTGACAAAGAATAAATACAAACATTTTATTTACTTAAAAAAATTATTTTTTAATTAATTAACTAATTAATTAATTTATTTATCTATCTAACATTCAAGTTACATAGCATATAGTGCAATAATGATTACAGGAGTAGATTCCAGTGATTCATCCCCTACATATAACACTCAGTGCTCATCCAAATGAGTGTCTTCCTTAATGACCCTTGCCCTTTTAGCCCATCCCCCTACTGACAGCCCCTCCAGCAACCCTTAGTTTGTTCTCTGTATTTAAGAGTCTCTTATGGTTTGTCCCTCTCCTTGTTTTTGTATTCTTTTTGCTTCCCTTCCCTTATATTCATCTGTTTTGTATCTTAAATTCTTCATATTAGTGAAGTCATATGATATTTGTCTTTCTCTGACTAATTTTGCTCAGTATAATACCCTCTAGTTCCACCCAGGCAGTTGCAAATAGCAAGATTTCACTCTTTTTGATTGCTGAGTAATACTCCTTTGTAGATATATACCACATCTTCTTTATACATTCATCTTTCAGTGGACATTTGGGCTCTTTCCATACTTTGGCTATTGTTGATAGCACTGCTATAAACATTGGGGTGCATGTGCCCCTTCAAGACAGCACACCTGTATCCCATGGATATATACCTAGCAGTGCAATTGCTGGATTGTAGGGTAGTTCTATTTTTAACTTTTTGAGGAACTTCCATA